ATTCGTATCTTAATCAAGCACTATAGTAAAAATTACACTGAGTCAAACTTATATTTTCTTCTCTAGAGAGTTTCCTTATCTTCGGCTTCTACCATAGTTACCAGTAGGAAAGTGTGCCCTAAACAAAAATATAGGTATGGCTGAGTTCTTTAGTTGTGTCCCTAGAAGTTGTAAATTATTAATATAACAACCAACACATATTTTCAAGTGTAGCTTACAAACGCTTACCTTGAGATCAATCTAAATACGCATATTTCACCTTTTTATACCCTTTACCTTATCAAGATTCATGCGGCGGTTGATTCAGTGGCGACATTATGGATCACATGTACACAAAAACATATGTTTTTTATTCTCCTCTATTGCTCCAACAGCAGCGACACTATCAGACACTTCAATTAGTATTCTGAAGGAGGAAAAACACTTACTAACTCCTCTAGATCCTGTTGTCCTTCTTGAAAGGATAGATATTAACGCGAAAAGCACGAAGAGTGTCTATTTAAGTCAAATTATATATTTAACTTCTGTGTTGACGAGGTCGATACAATTTCGAAGGAAAAGTAAATTAAAATTTACCTGGGGTACTATGTCCATTCAGATTTCTATTCGATATAAAGGTGATTCTCAAGTTGGTGATGATCAAGGCATTAGTGAAGAGAGCGTTGTTTTTGACTGTGGCCATGATATGCAGAACTTCACGGAAACTAAAGGTCATCTGTCACTTTCTCTAGATGAGAAACCCTTGAATGAAAATAGGAGAGGAGAAGATTGGTTTGAACTTTTGTTTTATGATTTTCCCGAATGTTATGATGATAAGCAAGGAGCTGGTAATGAACTATCTGCCCAGAATCAGTCAAATTCATCCGGATTCACTTCTGTATCCGAAAAGGAAGAAGAAAAGAAGGACATAGTAACCAGAGATATAAGTATGAGAGAAAGCAATGTTGCGGATGAGAATGAAGATTTATTTTGGTGTTTACGAGACACAGGGAATCAAGTCATCATGGAGAGCACCAATACTAACCAGGAGATTAGAAGGGCGTCTTTTCTTTATAATGAGCTCTCTACAAAAGGAAAAGAATCTAATCTATTTGAAAATCCACTTTACACAAACAGGGACGCTAATGAAGGCTTTGAACACCATATTGATTTCAAACACCAAAAATTTTCTGCACGATCTCATGTTTCAAAACGAAGACACTCTTCATCTCTTCATCACGTTGATGATTACGAAGCATTGGCAATCTTTCATGAGATGCCAAGGCCTCTTGAGGGTCTGTTTCATGATCTTGAAGAGTCTACTCTGCAGGACTGGAGTCTGCAATCCGGGTACAACACGCATTCTACTCAAGAAAAGTCAGATACCTGGTATGAACCTGAAAAACAGAATGAAAGTGATCCACTCGAAGTGAGTCACCTTCGGCGATGTAATAATGTACAGTTGATCTCCAAAGAGACGCAAATCCCTCTGAAGATCCCTGACAAAGCAGAACACATTGCTGACGAGGCTACGGCGGTGGTTATAAATGAGGAAAGATATAGAACAGCTCAGGACACCATGGGGAGACCAGCAGCGGCTTCTACTGTACCTAGCAGCAACACCGTCGTGCCGACGTCGCCTCGCATGGCTAACCGCCGGAGTTATCTTTCACAGCAGGATAAACTGTACCTTGCGCCGCAACCCCTGGCAGAGCTGCGGCCAGATGAGGGGTATAGCCCGGCACAGCCGCACATGTGTGTTCTCGTAGTATTCGCAGCAAATGATTTGCGTGTACACGACAACTATAACCTTGCTTTAGCTTCTATCTATGCACACAAAGCGGGTGGGCTTCCTGTTGTAGCGCTCTGTGTACTAGACTATCGCACCTTTGCGCAGCCCAGTCTTGTGGGTGGCTTTTTCCGCCAGAGCCCACAGCGGGCACAGTTTCTTATTAGCACAATCGCCGCGTTGCGCACCAGACTTGAGGACAGCGATCTACATGTGCCACTCTTGATTCGTTGCGGTCGTCCAGAGGAGCATGTCCCAAGGCTGGTGGTAGAGCTTGGGGCGGTCGATGTATTTCTAACAACACAGTATGCACCACATGAGCGCCGTGTCCACGATTATATCCTGCAACGAATTAAAAAGCGGTGCTGGGTGAGTCGAAGGGTTGTTGAAAACAACGACTTTGGGTTTGTTGGTATGACCAAAATTAATGATAGGGGAGAAGGGGAAGAACTTGTGGAAGTTGTGGAGCATATTGAAAGGCATCCCTACCTAAACACACAATCTAGAACTGAACCTTTTTCATTAAACAGGCACGTGGCAGTGCACAGTGTGTGGCAGTCGACGCTCGTCCACTTAGACGACCTCCAGACACCAGTGGCTGCCATGAAGGAAGGGGAGCGTTGGTACCATGATGACGTCACAACGGCTGTTATTCGACCGACAGGACCCTACGAGTGGCATATTGCTCAGTTAAAAGACCTGCCAGTTATTGCAAGGCTTCTGCCCGGAGAACGAGAACGTCTTGGGTTGGATCCACCTTCTTTATTACGGGGCCGCCTTCCAACACTAGAGGAATTGGGCTATGACAACGTACCACATCTGTTTCACTTTGAGGAGGTTATTGCAACGCAGTCATCTCATCCCACAGCCGGCGAGGAGGCTGCTATAGAACGGGTGCAGGACTGGCTTGACCAGGGGGGCATGACGTCGATGCTACGTTTTGCTCACGTGAAGCGCACGAACACAAAGATGTACTCCCCAAAGCTCTCGCGTGTGTCACCGTACATTGCCACGGGTGCTCTTTCACCACGAAAATTCTATGAGATGCTGCGCACTCACACACACGCCAATCTTCGCGATGGATTTGTTCAGATGCAGTACCGCGAAGCGTTGCTGCGGCTATCTCGGCGGGATTACTGGCATTGGATGGGAATCCGCTACGGTGATCGGCTTTTTTTTCCGTACGGCCCGCACCCTGAAGAGACGGATGACATCTCAGACTGGAGGCATGACGGTGCGATAGTGCAGAAGTGGTGTATGGGTCTTACAGGGATCCCATTCACTGACGCGGCAATGCGAGAGCTGCTAGGAACCGGGTTTGTGGCGCACGAGGGACGTCAGGCTCTTGTTTGGCTTCTCACACGTGGGTACGGACAGGACTGGCGGCTCGCGGCCGAATGGCTTGAACGCTGCTCTTTGGATTTTGATCCATTTGTTTGCTACGGAAATTGCGCATACTTCAGCGAACTCATCCATGATGACTTCGGGGAGACCGTGCGTAATGTTCACTTTTTAATGCATCATCATGATCAAACTGGAATTTACATTAAGAAGTGGCTTCCTCAGCTTTCGAAAATACCACCTGTGTACATACATCGACCGCACATTCTTACACCTCGTATGCAGTCGATGTACGGTGTGTATATAGGCAGAAACTATCCTTATCCACTAAAGCTATGGCAAGGGGCACATCGAGCACTTACAAGCGCTGATTTGAGGGCTTACTTTCCAGATTTACAAAATTTAAGAGGTCCTGGGTACGCTGAGGCGGCTCGACACGGCACGGCCTTGATGCAGCCAGAAGAATGGAACCATATCTTCGATATTACTTTCATCAGAGATCAACCCTGGATACGCGGTAGCCTCTTAGCCTCGGCATTTGACGATGTAGAAGATGAGGAAAGCATAGGTGTGGATGCCTACTATGCTAGGACTAAACCTACTGGCATGGATAAAGTTTTTTTCACATCAGAAAGTTCTTGACATCAGACACCACAACTAGTAGCTATGTGTAATTGACGAGATAAAACAAGATTATTTTGGTAAACTAGACTGGATAAAATAAAGCTTATATATCTGATTAAATTTTTGCACCATCCTTACCTATACACACACATACACAGCTACATATGAATAAGTGGCGTTGTGGTGTTATGTTTGATAGGGTGCACGCGTGACACATTTGCATATTCACATTGATACAAGCCCTCCACTACGGTTTTCCTCACGCTGCTATTCGAAAAATACAATAGACGATAAAAAGTAGAGCTGTTGCCTATTGATCTCAGGTCATAGATATCACACAGCAACTGAACCCCAAGTTTTCCTTTCGATATCCATTTTTAAGCCTTTGGTTGTTCTTTGATATCATTAGTTCTAAAGCTGCACAAGATGCATATGCTAGATGGTTCAGGTACCCTAAGGCGAAAAGCAGAATGGAGGGCGTATCTTACATTGTTTACTTTGGATATTTTCCCCTTTTTCTCTAGTTACGTGATCGCCGACATTTTTCATCACCATTTTTCCTGTAGTGCGTAAGTTGTTAATTTCATATCTTTTTGTGGCCTGAAACAGTTATTGAATATCTAAAAGGTTCTTATTTTGATTATGCTAAAGATGGGAGGATGAAAAAATCTTTCAACAAATATCGTTGTTCTTTTGCTTTATTATTCCACCTCCCCAGGAATCAGCCACGTGCTTGAGTTACCGATAAAACCATTTCCCTTTAGTTTCCAAAGAAGAAAAGCTTTCGATATTCCCCACTTTTTTACTTAATTAACACTCGTAAATAAACATCAACAATAAGCTAAAATATTTCTTTTTATAGTAGGTACAATGTCTCTTCCATACCCCAATAGACTACAGTATCGCTTGCAGCCCTCAGAAACTAAGATTGCTGAGTGCATGGTACCTAACCTTTTAAAGTTTGCTACCACATCGGCAGGGGAAACCCCTCTTTGTAATGATTCTGAGAGTGACCTTATGATTTCTTATCGAAATCGTATTAACCATGCTTTAACTGTGATTCGTGATAGCGGTGTGCCGCTAGCCATGCCTCCTAAGTTTCGCCATGAAGCTGTACTAAAACGTGTGGAAGGAGCTGAAAGCTGTGAAATAGAATTAAAAGACAGCACCGAAATGTGCCAAGGTGGGAAATATGTTCCGGCTCGAATGCTAGATATCTTTCACGCTGCCTGTGATGGGGACTGTAAAATGATTGAATTAAACTTACATGCTGGCATTAATATCAATGCTATAGGGCAGCCCAATCCAACGGCTTATGATGGGGTTCAGTTTGAGAAACGTTGGACTTATTATGCGACACCTTTAATTTTTGCTGCTGCGTTCGGCCGTGAAAACGCAGTGTCATATTTATTGAAGCAGGGTGCCGATGTTCGAATTTTGTCTTCTACGTGTCTCACAGCGAAGGAAATTGCTGCCCATCGCGGTTATGAGGCAGTTGTAGGCATGCTTGAAGGGGCTGAATGAGGTACATGAAGATAGGATGTTGGTGATTTTAAATGGTTAAAACAACCCAACCTATATTTACTTAGATGTAAAGAATATATGCGTTAATGATCAGCACAATTTTCTATTGGTATTCTGTGAGTAATATCATAATTTGTGCATCATAAATTTCAGGGCTATTTCCACAATCACTTACTGCTGGGTTTGATGATGCTACGCCTCATTTGCTTCTGATATGATTATTTCTACTCTTGTTGTTGTTTTACTACCCCTGAGTATGTAGATATTAATATAAATAAGATAACAAATTCAGGTGCTATAATTTTATATCATCAATGTATAAAATTAACTTATTCTTTATTGTATTTCTAGCCTTTTGTTTCGACACCCAAAATATATACATATATATATTAAAGAGGATAGTACTGTATTTTTGAAAATTTAAATAGAATACACATTTCATCAAATAAATCATTAGAAAATATAATTTTGTGAAATTCTTTTCTTTTATTGACTTGTCAATCTGTTAAAAAATCCTTTACTTGCCAAAGAATTCGGGTAGATATAAAGGAGTTAAAATAAGGAGGTTCTTATTTTTTTTCTTCTGCTGCTTGCGCCTGATAGGCGGCAATCTAGCTTCAATTTTAATACAACCGACGTTTCTACTGGCGGCCGTATAGTGGACGTTGGCAGGAGTCTGAATCTAACTCTTTTCAGAACAGTACCTTTCTTTCTTTTCCCCTCATTCCATTTTCGGAGTGTCAGACTTCGATAAATACAGACAAAGTGACGCAAATACTTTTGCGATTCGCTTAAGTATATACTCGTGGCTTATAAATAGGGAATACTGTTGATGAAGGCGACTCCTGTCAAGAAGGAATGGCCCGATACATCAAACGTGCCTGATCAGTTGAAACTTCAAAATAAAGAACAAAAAAAAACTAATGGCGATAACAGGCCCCGTTTTTCTCGTGACAGGTATATTCAGAAGATGCAACCAAACTTCTCACAGCAACCAATGGACTCTATAACTGATCGGGCTCAGAGTTGCCGTAATAGAAATGTAATATCTAATTTGCGATCTAAAAGAGGATTGTCGGACAGGTTTAGCCCAAGACCGTTGCATCCAAGACATCCAGATCGGTTTATCAACACAAATGCAACTGGGCATCCCCTTTCTAGACGCAAAAACAAGTTAAATAATACAAGCCGCTTGAATACACACCGCAGTACTATCGCTCCCGATCGCATACTCCGGAGCCAATCTCGACAAATTCATCATACACCGTCTGATCCTTTCAATAACAATACAAGTTGTGACGTCAGTAGTAGTACCATACAAATTATTTGCTCAACGAGCAAAAGCTCGTTGATGAATACTAGTAGATATAATTCAATTGATTTAACAGACACTTTCTCAGCTAGTTCTCCAAGACACCAAAGGTTGACCGGAGTAAGTACTCACTTCTTGTCTGATGAGATACTTCAAGAGCATCTAACTAGCTTTATTCGACACCTTCCAAGTGCATGGATGTTTCCAATCCTGCGTGCTGCTACACTACAGGTTATGACAGAACGGCTCCCCATGCACATTGTGTCCTCTTCTATAATTTTTGATGCCTACTCCGAAGCCAAAGCGGAGTTAGTGCAGGTTTTAAAGAATGTTGATGTCCCTATAGGCAATGCCGTGATGCATCTCACAAAGTTGGCTCCTAATAACCAGACTAGTGCTCCGGAAGGAGCAAAAGGACCCCAAATAGGTACTAGTGGTGAGGTCACCACACACCCAATTAGTGCAAACACTTCCATACGGCCTTTTGACTCTCATTTAGGTAATTCTGATGGGCTAGTAGATCTAGTAGGTTTACAGCTCGTGGTTCCAGCTATCCTGCGTTTTCGGTTAGATCACATAAAGCAATCGCGAATACAGGAGTTTATTAATCAGTGTGATCAGAACTTTCAGTCGTGCAAAGAGCAAAACACAACTGCTCCCATACGCGAGGCAGCTGCTTTGCAGCTTTTTTATGATCAGGATAGCGATATTCAGTTTGGAGCTCATCTTCGGCAGGGAGTGCGGCGTTCAATGAAGCGTGGCTCACGCCTTCTCTTGCCGTACTACAAGGGGGACCCAACAACAGACGCAGAAAGCAACGACTCAATGACCATCACAAGCTGTGCCGCCGTTTCTTTTTCGAATATGCCTTCAATTTTCCTTAAGGCCCGTGAAGAGAGTAACGCCTTGAAGGCCCAGCAAACCAAGGGTGACGCCAACATTCGTGGCAACAACCGCCGCCATCGCGTGCACCCATTTTTCACCTGCGAGTTTGCTGCCACCTTGACATGTGGCAGTGACGGGGGTTGCATCTTTGCGTCGGCACTCGCGACGGAGTTTTTGGTTGGGATGCCTTCCTTCATCTCCCAGCCTATGAACTGTATCGCGTCCGCAATTCGTGCTACGCTGCACCGGATGTGCTTGGGTGTCACAAAGGAGTCACTGCGCCGTTTCAGTGGTCAAGCGGTAGAACAGCTGCGCGGCTTGCGGATGCCACCCTTAGATTTGGCTCTCCTCTATGTTCGAGGTTCTCAACTGTACTATGGGTCCACCACTGGGATCAAAGGAAAATTTTTCTTCTTTAATAATGATGACAAGGAGGGCTCTTCTTTTGATTTGTGCAAGGACTACCTTCTGGAAAATGTTGGAGTTAGTTCTTTTTCAACCAGGAAAGTTAATGAGTGCCACAACACGGTTCCCTTCGATAACCCTAGCTCAACGGGAAATGCTACATCTTTGGCGGTATCGGAAGATAGTCGTGATAACGTGGTGCCAAAAGGTGCTTCTTACGATATGCCCATAGTGGTGCGTGGCTTTGTAGATTTGTCAAGATTTGTTTCGTTAAACACAGTACCTGCCACATCCCCACGAGAGCATGGTTTAGATTCTAAAGATACCCTCAATACTGTGGGTCTGAATCGCTTGATGAAGAAATTGGCCCGTCCCAGCCCGCTTCGGAGCCAAATAGTATTTCCACTCGCTGTGGTACTTAGTTGCAGTGAATTCTGGTCAGTTATGTCAACAACATATGCAGTTAACCTGCTTAGAACGCTATTACTTTTGGACTACGAGGCGTCTAGCTATACTGAGAGATTGAGGTTTAAAGAAAAATCTAACATTGATGAAATAGAGTTCACTGAGGAGTTTATGGAGACAGAACGAGCTAGTTCTCTCCACAAGAATATCGAGGGCACCATGGTCATACAACAGTCAGAAAGAATACGCGAATACCTCAATACACTCGACTCTAAATTGTCACCTGACGTACGTGCGCGTATGACGGCTTTTTACGATAACCGTGTTGCATACCATATTCAGATCAGTAAGTTTAGCAAATTTGATTCCTCGCGAATATATACAGAAGAGCTCCGTGCGATGGCCAACGAGCGTAGAAAGAAAGGAGAGCCCCAGAATTTCGATCCACCGCCCTCCCTCATCAATGACAACACGCAGGACTCTAATTTTGCCACGGGAATATCTCGAATAAAGGTAGGAGCGCCATCACACGATGGTGGGCATGATAGCGAAATCCCCATAGATACTGTACAAGTAAAGCGGCAAGGCCCTACTGCGTGGAGTGAATTTCACCGAGCCAGCACGCGTGTCGCGGCGGATGGGCAGCCCTTGTGTGATGCACTGGCCTCGTTCTTGGCAACGGAAGCATCCATCATCTGCCACAAATCCTCGCAGGATCTTCCAAACGGAGACCATTTTGTTAGAGATCAGGACATGCTGCCTGTGACGGCAAGCATACCAATTTCTCAAACCCTGTCCTCAGTGAATTACGTCGCTATTCCATTATCCACAGACAATGCAATTCCTGTGTCTTCATCTAAATCTAACAACATCATTAATGAAAATATTCCTCATGACGCTCCAGAGATGAGTAATTTGGACGATTTTCACACTCTTTCAGAAGCGTCTACCAATGCTAGGGCTACTTTCAGTATAGAAGGGTCTGAGAGCGGTGAGCCGTACTCCGTTGTGGTAGTTTTACTTCCGGCGGATATTGTCTTTGCTGATGCGGGCCGACGCAGCAGAGGACTGAATGTGATTAACCATGCACGTCGTAGCCATTCACAAAAGCAACCGAAATAGTAATCGTTGGGAAAAGCTCACCCTTCTAAAAGAAGCTGAAAAAATTTAGCTCATAAAAAGTTTTTCCACGCGTAGTCTAGTGTTTTCATTTCAAAATGTTTGAGGGGATAAAGAATAATCGCAAACTATAGCACATCCAAAAAACGCAAGGAATAAAAAAGGGGGCGTATTTTTGAAAAAGCAACTGAAAACAATACATTTGTAGTAATCTTTTAAAGTAGCCATACTTTACACGATAGTTTATTCCATTTCCATGTACATTTAAGACTACTTTTTTAGATTTGTCTGAACAGAGTTTAGTAGCATCTTTCTGCTTGAAATATGAAAACACTGGAAAAGCCAATTTTGCTATTGTAATTATTATTATTATTATTATTACCCCTTTATGGGGAGTTTAGTATGCAAGGATGCCATTTATCGGGTAATTTTGAGCTCCCACTTTTATTGATAGCAAAAGTGTCGTTGAATCGAAGTCTTTCTTTTATTATTATTATTATTATTTTGATGGTAAACAGGGATTCAATAGGAGTCATTACAGTACTCTTTTTTTGAAGGGTAAAAGGAGGCGATGCATATCAATCATCACAAATTCACCACATTTTTTAAAGAAATTCCTACTCCACAAAACGTGAAAAATACAATACTACACCTTTTTTTAATAACGTTTGCGTAAGCTTCTAAATATATACAAAAATATTGAGCGAGTTTATCGCCATATTAGAATAGCAGTAGACATCTTGCGCAAATTACTATAATTTTAACTTGACACAAAAGTATGGAGGGAAATTTCTACATATCGGACATCATAATAGACTTTAAATTAGGCTCGAACTACAGTATCGCCTATGAGCACTGTAAGGAAGAGGCACTTAGTTACGGAAAATGTATGGAAACTTCACAAATCAATCGCTCTTTGAGCAAGAACCTGTGTCTACATGAGCGTCAAAAACTTCGTCAATGTATAGATAATCGTCTCAGATCGATAGGAAAGAAACCTTTGCCTTTGGACACTACGTAAATAATTTGTCGTGCACTGTTTTCCTGTTTCACTCTTTATCAATATTAAGGAACTTCTTGAAAGGACGGATTCGTATTATTTAGCCGTATAAATACTATTTGAATATTAAAAAGATGGTATCCTGGAAATATGGTTTTTGGTATAAATCGCGGTGAAATTAAAAAAAACTTGCCATTGGGGGAAGAGGGAAGGTGTGTGGTAATTTAAGGTAGTATATCGACTCACTATTCACACTTTTCTTTCTCAATGTCAATGATCAAGCAAAATAATGAACTTCAAAACGGGATTAGATCTATAATTTTTCCAAATTGTGAAAAATCTAGATAAACTACCTGTTTTTAGTTTTTTTTTTTTTAAATAACCCTATACGTGTCAGGCTGAGAATATCTTATAGAGACACTATTTCGTTGAATAAGCAACTTCAATCCTTTCACTTTTCTATTTCAGTCTTCATCTAGACTATGTTTCCTTGTAGTAGGGGAACACCAGGTCATGCGAAAAAGTTTGCATTTCTTGGCTCATTTTTTTTTTGCTATCGACGTAGTGGAAGACGATTTCGTGATCCGCACAGGCACGTAGACACTACTGCAGCATGTATCGACCTCTTTGTCCAAAGACGATTTCTAAGTTATAATTCTTTTTCTATATCAAAGATGTACGCTATGCAGAAAAAACAAAATAAAACACATGAGGGATACTCTAGATATGATCGAGGCGGTGGTATCAGACGCCGTGAGAGTAGCTCATGCATGCGACCGCTCCAATCATCTGTACAGGCTCGTGGAGAAGCAGAAATTGTTTTCCCGAAAACCCTCAAAAGCGGTCGCTTTGAGCAGCATAACACGCGGTCTCAGCGAATTTTTTTTGAAAATTCAAAGAACGCTGAAGGTTTTTTTAAACAGCAACAAATAGACCGAGAATATATCCAGAGAATGCGAGAGGCTGAACACGACAAAGATATTGATCGCCGTTTCTTTTCACGAATTAATGATTACAGGGATATCGCAGATACTGACCCATACGCGGAAGTGTTTGGCGAGAGTGCCAGCACTCGCCGTCTACGTACTGCAGCCTGGCAGCGCCAGTTTGAAAAGGAAAACGAAGATGTAGAGCTTCCATATGAACGAACTAATTCTATTGCGCGGTTGGCACCAAACTGGTTCGTACGGTATTTAATCAATTTGCGTGATAGTGGCGGTTCGGATCATCTATACTTTTTGGTGGCTCTTGGTATTTTGGCTGTGGCCCTACTAAGCAGTGCTATATATATGTTCCGTGCGCATCCTAGGAAGGCGAAACCAATTAGTGAAATTCGATGAGTATTATGTATCAAGACTGAGATTGAAAGGGTGAAGAAGCATTTGCTTCTGTGAAGGTGATTTCCATTCCTTACTACCGTATCCACATGTGCAAAGCTAAAAACTCTGAGAGAGGTCTGATATTTTAGCTCTCCCAACGGGGTTTGATTGTTGTTTTTTATACATGTGCTTTTGTTTTGTTTACGTCTTAATACATTATGGTTATTCTTTAACCTCAATATTTCTTCGGATCTCGACGCAATTCAAATGAAAAGTGGAGAAAAGAGAGCAAACAAGACTTGTCTTTTTTTTTTACTGTATGACCTATCATATACTTGCCGATATGTATTAATCATAATATCTATAAGTTGGAGTTACACCTGGTCAACCATTTTTCCTTATCATTTTTATTTTATTACTTTTTTCTTTGTAGTGCACTTGTTTTTCTTCCGGATATATGCCGAGTCAGTACGTACAAGCTAAACACTGTCAGCTGTTCCGAACTGATCTGGAGGATCTTCTTCTATTGCCAACACGCATCATTTTATGCGGCAATGATGTCAGCAAAGGCAGTGATACTGAGAAGGAAGATTCGCGCATTGCTTTCCCAACCCTAGGGGGTGCCCTAAGTGGCCTTCTAAGCGAGGTCCACGCGCGCGCTTCGATCGAAAACACTATTGTGCGAGTGTTCATCCCCAAGAGCAAGCAGGAGGCTCTTCTGTTAGACAATCCGTACGTTCAACTGTATCAACAGCAGTCCAAAGATAAATTAGAAAATAAGAAAGAAGAGACCAGTGCGATGTTGGAATCAAATGTGCCGATTCAATCACAGCGTCCATCACATAAAGAAATGTTGCATCGCGTGGGTCGCGTTGTGGCGCTGTTGCCGAAACCAAAAAGTACTAATCAGGGTATCAATAGTGGCAGCATGACCCCTGGAGAGGAGCTTTTGTCTTCTTGGCTATTGGCCGTGCATATCGGTGAGATGATTGAACTATTTCCCATTAAATGTGTCTCCAATGAGGCTCTTTCCGAGTCCGAGCATATTGTTTATCTCCACTCCACGTTAGGCAAATACGCGACCGCGCGTCCCACGACAAAGCCGGCCGCTACGAATGTCACCGACAACTTCATCCTCACAGGTGAGCGTGTTGAGGCGGTGAAGAAGAATTTAAAGGATCTGCGTGCCGTTTTAGAGGCCGTGCAGCTCCACCAGCAGCAAAGGAACGGCGAAAAGGGTGGTGAACCCCTGCGTCAACTTCTGTCCTACATGGGGGTGGACACCGGGGCGGGGAGTAGTCTACACCGCGTCCCCCCGCTCAAGCGCGCTCGCACGGACGGCGTGTTGGGGATGGCGTTCGAGGCGGCCAAGGCGCATGGCGATCAGGATGTAACGCATCAGACTGACGAAGAGGTGGAGGCGGAGCAGGCACGGTACTTCGGCAACGGGGAATTCTCCGAGGCCGTTCGATTTTCTCGTTTAACCCATGAAAACAAGCAGCTAACGGAGCAACTGGATCAGCTACGACAGATGCTTCAGGGCCGGGATGATAGCCTTGCTTTGTTGCATAAGCAGATGAGACAAACCGAGGAGCAACACAAAAGTGAACTTTCTCAGTGGTGTCTCAAGGAATTAGATGCGAGCAAGACTCACGAGCGGATTGTGTTAGAGTACCACACAAAGTTAAATGAAAACGAAACTCTTCTGCAGAAGGCCGATGCAAAATTGCGTGAGTTGGCAAAGATGACCGTAAAATACAAAAGTATATTCGATGAGGTCTTGAAACGTATGAACATAAAGGGTAGGAATCCAGAAGAAGTTCTGGCTTTATTAAAGGATGATAAGTTTCAGACGCCTTTCTGATGTATTTAAAGGTGCATCGTACGTTATATACACCTGGAAATTAGTGACTCAAAAAAAGGGGGAAATACTCGAGTGAAAAGAAAAAATCTTGTTTTTAGTCGAACCATTGGACTGGCTACCTTTAATAAGAATCTTACATTTTAAAGAAAGTAAAATATTAGACATAAACCTTATAAAATTTCGTTTCATTAGATATGTGTTTTTAGGGACACTTATTCTGGCTGACTTCCCTTTTGATTGCTATCATTCGCATTATTTTTTTCTTCACTAGTCTCAGACAATCCATTGGATCTGCGTAAGCGGAAGTTCAGACTTTCGAATGGCATCTAGTTCGAGGAGTGAGTTATTTTCTTCTTTGTAAACTCTTGACAATTTTGTTTTAGTGATTTATACTTAGGCTAATATGAAGTGTGCTGAAAGTAAATGCGCAGTTATTCTTCTTCCGGTTTCACATGAAGCAACTGGAAGGCAATATGCTTCGTTTCAGCATCAGCACTAGTCCGTAGCTCGACTTTTAGTATTTTGTGCGCTTTGATTTCGAAACATAACATAAAAAGTAGAAGGCAACCGATCTGGAAACTCAGGAGGGGGTATGTGAAGCTTAGCGTGTTATTTCAATATTTATCGTGTTTTCTTTTTCGGACTCCTAGGGCTCGATTTTTCGAAAGAAATCCATTACAAAATCCCTATTTGGGAGTTTGGATCTCAATATATGCCCCAGAAACGTTTCCTATTCAAGTAAGTACATAGAAGCAGTGTAGTCAATAATTAAAAAGAAATACATTCTTTTTTTTTTATACATAAGTCTTGTGTTGCTCTTTTTTTTCTCTATGACAGACCTGTTTGGTGAGGCTCAGATTGTAAAGTTTTTCGTTTTGAGAATATTGCCATTGTGTTATAGTATAAATCAATCAACACACAATAAGAAGTTTTTTCCTACCGAGATGATTTTTTCCTAATAAAACATTTTTCATTATACTTTCTCTATTTTTCTGTATTTGACTTTTATTTCTACATTAAATAACGGAAAACAGTACACGAGTCAGGCCCTCAAAGGAGTTGGTAGAGAAATAGACGTATAAATTTTTATTTCTAATTTCGTTCACATACAACTGTGCGATGTCAGGTATCTCTATCGATAACAGTGTTGTTTTGTTTTTCTTTGCTCGTGAAAAACTACTCTTTCGCTTTCCTGTAGAGAATCCCTTTACCATTGACGTTGCTGCGGCTTCCTCTGTTCCCATATCCAACCCTTTAAATGCCTCATTAAGCAGCAGTAACCCCAGCGATAATACGTCGGTAGGTGCTGGGATGTCAACCGCTACAAAGTCGCTATCACAACGAGCTTCCACCGCTTTCACGCAGCCGTGCTCATCGCCTGACCTCTCCATCTACGTTGAGGCTGCGGGTAAGCCGGACAGCCGCAGTAACGACAACACTAGTAGCGTCGCAGTGGCCGCCGTGGGCCTCGCAATGCAGCACAAAAAAAAACCCAAGAAGTTCAGTAATACCCATCCCAACCACACCTCCGACACCACGGCTTCTCAATGCACGTTGGGAGGAAAGGCCGACAGCGTTGGCGGGGCCGGGGGTGCCCACCTACCGACACTTCCACAGGGGAGCGGCACCAAATTGCGCCGCCCTGTGTCTGTGGCCTCTCTTGTGTCCACTCAAGGCAGCATTGACACGTCCACCATCGCGGCAACAGGAAAAATAAGAAGCACCACGACGTTCGGAAGTAGTAGAATACAATGGACGGGTTCTGATAGGATAACACCGGCGCCTACAGCATCTACGTGCGTTGGTATTCATGTAAACTCCCTCCTGCATTTGTTGAGAGTTCCCTTCACTGGGTTCACCACTATAAATTTGACAAACTGTACACTGTTGGTTCTGCCTCTCACAGCCACAAATACTACATATGCCAGGCCGATGCCTGAGTCATGCTGCGCCACCACGCCGGTGGACGCCTATGGGGGAAAGATTCAAAAGCGTGCGCGTGCTTCTACGGCGATGCTCGTTGCAGCTATGTGCCGTCCAGACACAGATAGCGGTACCATTTCCCGTTTTCTGCAATGCTTTATGAATATTCTCTATCGCGAGGAGCAGCGCGCGCAGTATGTTTCGAAGCAAATCAAAGTGATGGAGCACTTACTAAGTGAGTGGGAAAAGGGCAGGGGCGAGGTTCAGAGTGGTTTAACATCAGTCACACCTTTGGCGGAACACACATCTTTGGATCCTTCTGCCATTAATAGCAACACAATAGAGGAGGTGAATTCATTGACAGGTGTACGAGAGCCTGCCATGCCTGTTTCTGGTTCACCAGTCATGACCGAACTGACGCCGTCTCCAACGTTTTCGGGGCTGTCCAGCAGCGTTGACCGTTTCACATACTTATCCGAACATCCAAAGGCCACCCTCTGCGTTACGATCGCACAACTGGCCCACTCAATTAACGTCTGGTGCGCTACCATGCGTGCGGTGGAGTGCCGCTTGCCGTGTTACACAAGTAATACACCAGCACACCCTTTCCTGCGTTCTCATCCTGGCAACAGCGTGCGTGCAAACCAACATGTGGCTTCAGCACCGTCACCCCCACCACTTCTCACAGGTACTATTTTAATTAAAGACATGCTACGTCTGCCTCTTTATTTTCTTACTGGCGTTGCCCCCCGCTCGCAGAATATCTCCTCCATGAACTTCAACCTCAATCCCCACAGTCTTTTCCGTTTAAACCCTGCATGCAACTTATCGTTGAATGAACTGGAGAATGAGTACGTAGAGGCACTTGGTCGTCGTAACGCTCGTTTGTTTTCGTTGTCATCCGTTCAGGCTTGCCTAGCCAGACTGGCGACACCCTGGCGTATTGGGGCATTAAATCGGAGCCTCGAGCGTGCACTGATTAAGATGGGTAAAACACGAAGAGGTACACTTTCTCGGCAATTTCAACAGCAGCAGCAGAGAACCGACGGAGTAATAAGCCAACCCTTTGGATCTGAAGCTCTAGGGGCGTCACACCTGTATGGAGGTTCTGAGGGCGACGTGCACGCGACTGCTTCTAGTGCCTTACCCCGGTCATTGAACTTGGATTTCCTTGGTGTTGATATTGTGGAGTTTTTGCAGTTACAAGGGGTAATATTGTTTGATCGTGAATTCAATCTCTCCTTTACGCATGGTGACGTAACGCCGGCCTATGTAATATCTAAACAACACAGTAAGGTCATACAGAGTCAGCTGAAACTGCGCGGAAGTCTCCATACCAGCAGTGCTCCCAACTTGACACTTTTGCAGAGGTTTGACTCCAACACCGCAAATCAGAAAGTTCCTCATGGGAGACAAGGGCGGTACACTACGCTGCCCTCAATACTTCTACTGAAAATGCTGATGCTCGTGTTGGCAGATAGCTCCAAGAAGTCCCGCAGATCAGTTAGAGATCAAACGGGTACCTTGTTCGATGCATCAAGTGGAGGAATCAGCGCAAAAAACGTCTCTAACACGTTCTCAGTATCTCCTCAGACGTCTTTAGTACACAACACGAGTACATTCATTGCGTCCAACACACTACTTGGCAGTAGTCCACTTACGGCTGCCACGAGGCGATCTCAGCATATAGCCGGTACACAACAGATTCTGCCATCAACAGCCGTCCAAGGAGGCGACAGGCGGCACGAGCTTGTGGCTTATTGTGCGTGGGGATCCGCCTGCACACTCTGTGAAGCGCTCGCTTCGAACCCACAGTGCTGGGTTTTACATATTGAGACAGACTACGACTGTTGCCGTGGGTGCTGCCCTGTCCACTGTCAATCTTCGGGCTCCACTGAGGTGCCGTTGACGGTGCACTTTCCCTTTCTCGATCACTCAGTGCGTGTGTGTGCACAGCACGAAGCCAAGCACCACAGACAGAAGACCTCCAAAAATACCGGCCCCTTATTGGAGGTCAACCGCGGCGGAAGTCACCGTGGTGCGGATGGGGCAGTATATTTTAGTTCACAGCATAGTAGTACTGCTTTCAATGCGACTCTTACACAAATACACCGTCCATGGTTTTTGAAGCCAGAGATATACATGGGACCCGTAGAATCGAACATAATGTCTTCTTTTGAAGTGTTTAAACATTTAACTTCTTCAACTGTGGAGGCCAGTTCCCATCAGATGAGCTTGAAAACGATTGGCAATACTTCTTCTAAAGTATTAAATCGTTCGGAGCAGATAGGAGACGGAGTGTACAATGAAGGAAACTCCCACTACCCAACTCATCTCAGTACTGAAAAAGAGAAAGGCTGTCTATTATTGAACACTGAATCCATCCCTATAGAGGCCAAAGCATGGCTTAGTCGCTTCGCAACTACCATTATTGACCGGATAGAGTATGCCTTGGAATGTCAGAGGCAGTTGGAGCACCAGCTCACATCAGGGCCGCTAGTGCTCGTTAATGATAATAGAAACAATAATCCTTGTGGCAGTGATGCTCTTCATGGGTCACATTCTGCCTCTTGTAAAACCGCTAAGGGACAAGGCAAGACTCACACTGTGGTTTACAGCACTCCTGTGGTTGTGCCTGTAGCGGAGCCCATTGCCAAGGAAAGTAGCGCACCATCGGAACTGACCTCTGACAGAGCTTCTGGGCTGGAGACGGGTGCATCGCAGACAGGCACTGCCACTGTATCTTCCGATACCCCGTTGATGTCATCCCCTGCTTCGAATTTAATGCGTTATACAAAACGGCAAATACCGGATTGCAGCGCGACTCGCCCCGTTCCACTTGTTGAATTTCCACTCTTGTGCTCGAGCAAACCCTCTGAGAATACCTCGTTTCTATCCCACCTGGGTCATGTGAGTGCCGCGTCGAGGCAACCCAAGGGTGCCACTGGTAGAGACTTGTGCGCACCCACAGGCTCCCTTGGAAATCAGAATGAAAAGATTATCCTTAACGATGTCCTATGTGTACTCAGGTCGGCAAATCGACACCTCCCTGTGAAGGTTCTTTTGATTGTCGTCAT